GCCTTGCATTGCCTTTCTTAATCTAAATTATTAAAAAAGATAATGTTGGAATATTGTGGACGTGATTTTTTAAAATCCTGTTTTAATTAAACATTTTTCTTTATTTTTTTGATTGACCATGTGTCAATGAAAAACATTTGATGATGTCTGTCTTTTTTAAATTATATATATTAATAGATCAATCTACTGACATTTACAGTAAATGCATACTTCTTGATTTTTTTTTTAAATTATCTAATATGTTTGTTGGAGTCAAACATTTCACTGATTATCACAATACAATAACTTTGTTCGTAACAAACTGTTTCTGTAGTTTATATAAACACATTTTATTGCCATGGCCCAGGTATGATAGTTATGATTTTGTAAGAGCACTTTTGCAAAAGAGGGGAGGAGATGCAGGTGAGATTCCTTGCAGGTATGAGCAACAAAGTTTCTCTTGCTACAGCTCAGTGTAAACACACCATTTACTGGTAAACTCCCTATTTATCATTCATTCTTCTGAAGAAACGAATAAAACGAGATCACAATCACCCTATATTTAGCCTGGCATTTTGACTCCGCCACCAGACATCTGGAATTCATTGTTACAGTGATCTACTGGAGTTGTTCCAGTGTTCCAGAAGTGTGATCTTTACTCTCTTCTAGGAACCAGACTGTTTCTTTTTTAGGATCAGGACGAGGTATGATAGGTGTGGTTTTAAAGACTGTTTAAATGTGCAACAAGCTCAAGGTAAAGGTCTTTTCTTATATGAAAAACTATGTATTCAGTGACCTTCTCACATGATCTGTTTCCACTGTTTTGACATAACAGTAGGATTAAGAAACATTTACATATAGATCAGGTTCTGGGTTATTCTACGTTGTGACTTAATATTTGTAATTCAACTTTTTTTAAATTATTGTTCAACAGTCAAAAACTCTGTACATAATATGTACATGAAAAGGACTCATTCTGAAAAGTGAAAAGGACTGCTGATTATTTATGGATTGATGATATTTAATTGTTTGGATATATTAGTGTTTTCAAAAATAAACCATAAATGCAATTATCATTTGAATTATGAAATGGGACGTAAAGTCAAAATTGTCTAGTTTTAGACTTTTTTTTAGACATTTAGACTGTCTAGTTGTATTAATTATAACACATATAAATTATGAATAATATTATAAATAGTTTAATAAATAATGTAATAAATAGTCAAAGTCAATGTGATGTAACATGCAGGCACCCACTGGACAACAAGACCATTATATCATACAGGAAATGACATCACATTATATAGTTTTTTTTTTTTTTTGTGGCATCCTTACTTTTGTTATTCCCCTTTTTTTTTTTTTTTGGTTCCATCTTAAACTTCAGTGTCACATGATCCTTCAGAAATCATTCTAATATGCTGATTTGTTGCTCAAGAAACATTTCTTATTATTATCAATGTTGAAAACAGTTGTGCTGCTTCATATTTTTATGGAATTCTCATATTTTCTGGATTCTTTGGTGAATCGAAAGTGCAAAGGAACAGCATTTATTTGAAATAGAAATATGCATCAATCAATTGAAATCATTCATTTAAATGAAATATTAGTTCTTTACATACTTGATTATCTTTCACTTTTTCCATTCCAGCTCACTTATAATTTTTTTTTACAATTTTAGTTTAGTTAAGCATTTTACATGACAATACAATAGCAATTTCAAGCATAAACATTCTAAATTATAAGAAAAATACATTCAGGCAGGTGTTTGCAAACTTTTACAAACTTTTGTTTGCAAACTGGTTTTGTACATTGTGTATTCTTTATTTGACTATGCTGTCTACAGGTTCTGATAAAGTGAAAAGCTAAACCAAATGTGTTTTTTATTAGAAAGATTTATATTTACATGTACACATTTAGCAGATACTTTTATCCAAACCAACACGCTTGGGATTCAAACCCACAGCCTTGGTGTCAACAGCAGTATGTGTTATGCTGGCATAATCCCTATCTGAGAGAATTATCCACTCTTACTGTAAATATTGGGGTGTAAATGGTCATTTATTGTTATGTTAACAAACACATTCCTGTGTTCATATTCAGGGAACATAACTGGCTAAAACTGTCCTTCTCAAGCAAAACATGTCAAAATGAACTTGAAGTACTGTACACTCTTAAAATTTAAGGTTCTATTTTTGGTTCCCCAAAGAACCTTTCAGTGAACAGTTCTGAAAAGAACCATTTTTTTCATAGTGTGAAGAACATTTAAAAAATCTAAAGAACCTTTTTCCACTATAAGGAGTCTTTTGTGGAATTAAAAGATGCCATGGATGCTAAAGGTTCCTAATGCAACCATAGATGGAAATAAAGAACCTTTATTTTTAAGAGTATGAACTTAAATCAAATACAAAATGAACTATTTTGACGTCAAAGCTTGCAAAAATATAATAACGTTTGTACTACATATTTAATATGATCACAGCACTCTCATTGAAAAGGGATAAACTTTTACAAATGAGATTTATGAGATTGTATTACACTTAAACATTCACGATGAGGAGCATAATTTACATTGCATTTTGCCAGAGTTTATGCAGTCCAAAGTATCTCTACACACACTCAAGATCGCGCCGAGGTCTGATCTTATAAACCGGAAATGACACTTTGGCACAGAGTTGAGGCAAAACATGTGCAGTTTATTCTAATACAGTCATCTGGCATTTTTAGAAGATCACCTGTGGCCTTCTACAGTGTTTCTGTGTGAGCATACAGGTACGTGTCAAGGAACGGTTTGGACTTTTTGTACAGTCTGTCTTTGATCAAGCCCCAACAGGCCGAACACACCTTGGCCATGCATGGGAGGAATTCTACTTTTCGCTTCTTTTCTCTCCACGGTATCTTTTTTTCATATAGTATCTCTCGGGTTTCAGGGCAGTGGGCGGGATTCATTCAGAGCCTGTGGTGCCATTTGACTCACTGCTCTGGAATGCCAGCTCACAGATGCTTTCAGAGAGAGACGGCAGGGATGAAAAGACAAAACAAGGAAAACCAGGAGGTTTGCATGCACAGGCAGAGTGTGTGTTTGGTTTGGGGGAGATCAAATGTAAACCATATCATTGATTTAAATTTGTGGCTGTGGAAAGTAAATGTTTTTTTATGCACATTGGAGAGGAAGTGCATCGGGGAATCTCCCACAAGGCTTCCTTGTGGGATGCTGGCCACAATTTCCGCCAGGGTCATACACTTGTAAACACAAATATAACCAATGAGAGCCTGTATGTGTTTGTGTGTCTATTTACACTGTAAAAAATTACCGTGAATTTAACGGTAAAAGACTGTAAAAATGTTACAGTAAAAACCTGTTAAATGGTTAACGGTAAATTCCCCTACTATATACGGTGAAAAACTGTATTGGACATACATTGTAATTTTACGGTAGTATACCATTTTTGGAAGTGAAAAAGACTGTATACTAGGGTTGTATGTTACACCTAATGTTGTTAAATGAATGTTTATTGCATTATTTCAGTTTCATGTGTGTTACCATGATGGTGTTTAGTGTTTGTGTGAATGACCTTCTATATATGTTATTATTTAAAAGCTGCTTGTGATGGGCTTTTGTTCATGTAACTTTCTCATCGCCACCTGCATTTGGTGGTTATCAGTGTACAAAACAGATTTTAGTACTTCATTAGGTTGGTATATTAACATTATATCAGTTAATTAATGAAATTAAGGTATTTAACTGTAAATTTAAGTTGAAACTGTAAAACCTTAAATGTTGCTACCGTATTTTTTACGGTAAAATTCAGGCAACCACAGCTGCCGTTTTTTTACCGTAAATTTTACGGAATTTTTTTAACAGTGTATGATTTCTGAAAATTGACATGAAGTCATTCTAAGAGTGAAAGAAACATGTAAGGCCCAGGATGTTTAAGAAAACCTTTTTAAACAATCATACCTAAAACATAATTTAGTCTTCAAAGCATTCAAAACAACATTAAAGACTAATATTGCAGACAAAGTACAGGACATGCACTAGTCCTATATGTCTAATTTTGTTAAGAGTGTTGATAGGCAAACCTAAATGCACAAAAACAGCGGACACATTTCGTAGATTCATAATGATGTTCATATAATGAATGAAGTTGCAATGAGTACAGTAATGTTTTGTGATTATTTGACATTATTGTGATCATTGCAACTTTATTTATTATACAAACATCATGGTACCTCACACATTTTCATCTTTACAATGCTAATAATATTCATTACTGGTATTAATATTATGATAAATGATATCCCATGATGCCTGATACATCACAATATGTTCTGGCAACCACAGCTGTCTTTTTATTTATTTATTTTTTTACAGTGTATCACATCATTATTTATTATTTATTTGAATACTTATGTAATAATGCAGATTTTTTTTTTCTAAGCAGTAAAGATTGATGATGGAAACTATCAGAATAATGTTGATCTCATTTTGCATGACTGTTGATGATCTAGTGACTTCCCTAATCTATTTTCTCTCTAATATCCATCTCCAAGTTATGGTATGATGCATTAGATTGACAAAGCACTGTATTTCCCCTTAAAACTCACTCATTATGTCTTTCTTAAAAAAATGTGTCAGTGAGGTTTGGTTAATGATACATTCTAAAAATACCCAGTTATACTTTAATGAGTTATTTAGGCATGATCTTTTAAAATAACATTGATTAATGTAACCTAATGAAGTCAGAGTGATTCAGTAAAATGAAATAATAATCAGAACTGGTATATTTAGATCTTGCCACATTTTAAAGTTACCTGGCAAAACATTTTGCAGTGCATGTTCTGAATACAACCATGCAATGAAAGTGAAGAATGACACAAAACATTATTGTGATCATTGCAACTTTATTTATTATGTGAACATCATTGTACCTCACACATTTTCATTTTTATAATGCTCATAATATTCATTACTGGTGTTAATATTATGGTGATTATTTTTAGGACTCAAAACTAAAACTAACAAAAAACTCAAAATTGTAGAGTAGTTAAGTATTTCTGTTCTAATATTTCAATGAAATCCACAAACACAGTTTTTTTAAAGAGCCATATCAGCATAAATATTCATGCATGTATACACGTCAAATATTTTCCCATTTCTCTTGTTTCAGTATTGTACTTCACTGTAGTTTGAACCAAGTTTGTGAGACCACAGCTCATTAGAGCTAATAATATTACAAGAAGACAATGAAAAAGTAACTAAGAATTGAAGATGCGAATGTCAGTTTAATTTCACAAGACAATAGGAAATAAATAAGCAAATAACAATAAATAAATAACATTAAATAAATAGCTACAACAAATATTTCTTCATATAAAAATCTTCAATGTGGGATTCAAGTATTTCTGCGAGCGGCAGCGTTCAGCAACACAAATGGTCATTGCGACACCCTCATGGGTTTAGACATACAACAGGTCTACTTGTGAGGCTACATGGTAAATCTGTACACTTCAAGTGAAACATTTTCAAGTACATCTAAATGAGCCATTCAAGTTTCATTCCATTATAAAGTTTCTTTGCCATTCAAGTCCATCAGATGTCTCCTCAGCTTGTGTTTTTCATCACTTCGTCCCGCTCTGTGGAGTCTAGCATGACTTTGGTGCCACAGGAGCCTGTTTTTCTTCTCCGAGAAGGTTCAGTGAACTTGATTAGTCCACACACTTGATTCTGAGTTCATTCAGTTCTCTGTGCCAAGTCTGTGGTACACTGGGTAGAGAAGGGCCACCACGTATCCATTCCTCCTGCTCTGCTGGTAGAGAGTGTTGATGTCCTCCTCCCAGCTTGAGCTCGGGCATGTAGTGTTCAGAAGCCAAGAGATCTCCTTCTGCTCCTCACTGCTAGACTGGAGCTGCTGATGAGACATCAGGCTCAAGTCCTCAGGACAGCTGCCCATCATTTGTCTGGTTTGCTCCTCAGCAGACTGGAAGGAGAGAACATTGTATGAAGTTGGTCCTTCACTCTGCGTGGTCTCAACGGATCCCTCCTCCGTGTAGATCTGCATGAAGACCACCAGGCACAGGACGATCAGCCAGCGTTTGGCGGGGCTCTTCTCGGCCGGTGGCAGATATTTGCGCACTTTGGAGGGGTACATGACGCGTGTGTTCCTCTTGCGCGGGCGGCCCGAAGCTCCGCGGTGAGGGAACGCCGGCTGCTGCGGCTCCGGGATCCGCTCGAAAGTGAAGATCTCCGGCTTGGTGTTGCGCGGCATCATCGGTCTGAATTCAAACTGCGGCTGCGGCTGGAAGAAAGTGTTCGTTGGCAGTGATAAGACCAGGCTGTCTGATCTGGTGTACATTGCTAGTTCAGGTCAGTTTCAGTATGCGTTACTTGCTCGGTGTCTCTGCTTCTCAGAAGTGGCTTCTCTAACTTCAGCTTGAGGTTTATATATATTTTGCTTTTAAGAGACGCCCATAAAAAAGCCACACCTTCGAGGGAGACGGAAAATACAGATCGGAAGTATATATATATACACACACACACACATATATATATATATATATATATATATATATATA